TCCTACCCACTTTAAGTCATTTTCAAGCTGTTATAAATAGGGTTACAGAAAAGGAGATCACACAATATAATCACCCTTGGAAAACTGCCTCTTGGATTTCATTAGAAATACTATGTTACAGGTAACTAAGTTCTCTGAAAAAGTGTACTCTAAAAATATATTTAAACAAAAAGCAATTGCTTAATAATTTGTTATTTGAATTTGGGTGGAATTTGTAACACAATCTGTTTTGAATTAAAGGAAGTTCAAAATGGTTACTGAAAGTTATTTGAGTTTTCTTCCTTCAAATTGCATTTCTCCACTTTTATATATGTCTGAATTCTTTGGTTAAAATGTCTTTGTCCTGTGGGTGAAAAGAGATATCGTGAAATAGCAATGAAGAAAAAAATCCTAATATAAACTTTACAATAGCTGTCTGTATTAAACAAAACCAAGTTAAGCAGTGATTAAAATCCATATCCAAAGGTGTCCCATGAAACCAAAATATTAAGATGACAATGAACATATTTTTATGTGGAAATTAATGTAGCAAAAGTATTTAAATAGAAAAGAAGACAGAGTCATATTAATCATGAAAACCATCTTTTATACTTTTACAAAATATTTTTAGAGCAAGCATAACTTTGTTCCTGAAAAGATTACCACATATCAAACTTCTCAAATTGATCTCTACTTTGCTGTTATATCAAAAAGCGCATCTGTCTCTGTCAAAAGCTGGTGTTGAACATACTACCACAACTAAAAGTGTCAGTGCCATCTTAATCTAAGGGGATAATTGTTTTTGTAATGATTCAAAGTCAATTTGGTCTGAATATTTTATATCTAAAATAAAATACAACATATATTAAAGGGTCTCATTTTAAATTTAGGCCAAAAATATGAGATAGCATTTAATATACCTTCTAGCACTCAAATTTAATAATTTTTGAAAATTGCTTTTCAACAAACTTGTAGATATAAATAGATATCATGCAAATGCTGATGTGTTCTAGTTTATGGCTTTCTGCATTTCATTTTCTTTTCAAAGTTATAAGACAGAGACATCTTTGAGAATGTGATGAAAATAATGGTCCCTTACCTCAGAGAAACTCAAATAAGGATGCCCTCTCAAAATTGTTTTATATAATTGAAGGGAGAGAGTATGGGTTAGACCATTAGAAGCATATACAGACCTGTGGACACCACATTAACTATTTTTGTCCTAGAGCTTAATAATTTACAAATGTAACTTTCCAGTCTCCAGGGAAAATTTTTCTATCATTTATTCAACACTCATTTAACACAAATCTATTGCCTGACTTTATGCCAATTACAATTCTAATAGCAAAAACTCTAGCTAAGATTCATTTAAGAAAAAAAAAATGTAACTAAAAAGTTCAGGAATAGGGCAGACTTTAGGGACAGTCAGATGCAAGACAACTAACAATGTTAACAAAATTCTTTCTCTCCATATCCAAAACCATTTTCCTCTAGGTGGAACTCCATTTTCACACAGACTCTTTTTTTATAGCAAGAAAGTGGCTTTGCAAGACACACACCTTTCACCTCTCACAAAAATCAACTCACGCTGAATAACAGCGTGAGTTGAACCTTAGGGGTGAAACTATTAGAATTCTAGAGGAAAATGTTGGAAATACCCTTCTAGACATTGGCCTAGGCAAAGAATTTATGAAGAAGACCCCAAAGGCAATCACAACAGCAACAAAAATAAACAAATGGGACCTGATCAAATTAAAAAGCTTCTGCACAGCCAAAGAAACTGTCAAGAAAGCAAACAGACAACCCACAGAATGGGAGAAAATTTTTGCCAGCTACACATCTGATAAAGGGCTGATAACTAGAATCTATTTAGAACTCAGGAAAATCAGCAAGAAAAAATCAAACAGCCCTATCAAAAAATGGGCAAAGGACATGAACAGAAACTTCTCAAAAGAAGACAGAATAATGGCCAACAAACATATGAAAAAATGTTCAACATCTCTAATCATCAGGGAAATGCAAATCAAAACCACAATGAGATATCACTTAACTCCAGTGAGAATGGCCTTTATCAAAAAGTCCCCAAACGATAAATGCTGGTGTGGATGCAGAGAAAGAGGAACACTCCTACACTGCTGGTGGGACTGCAAACTAGTTCAACCTCTGTGGAAAGCAATATGGAGATACCTCAAAGCAATACAAGTAGATCTACCATTTGATCCAGCAATTCCACTACTGGGAATCTACCCAAAAGATCAAAAGTCACTTTATGAAAAAGACATCTGAACTCGAATGTTTATAGCAGCACAATTCACAATTGCAAAGCTATGGAAACAACCCAAGTGCCCATCAATTCATGAGTGGATTAATAAAATGTGGTATATGTATACCATGGAGTACTACTCAGCTTTAAGAAACAATGGTGATATAGCACCTCTTGTATATTCCTGAATACAGCTGGAACCCATTCTACTAAGTGAAGTATCTCAAGAATGGAAAAATAAGCACCACATGTACTCACCAGCAAATTGGTATTAACAGATCAACACCTAAGTGAACATATAGGAATAACATTTATCGGCTGTTGGGAGGGTGGAAGGGAGGAGGAGGGGATGGGTATATACAACCAAACGAGTAAGATATGCAACATTTGGGGTATGGACATGCTTGAAGCTCTTACTCGAGGGGGGAGGGGGGGGCATGGGCAATACATGTAACCTTAACACTTGTACCTCCATAATACACTAAAATAAAAAATAAATAAATAAAAATAAATAACACACACACACGTAAAGTGGCTCTGGTAGCTCCATACTTCATATACTCATGTTCAATTTTAATTCTAGAGAGAAAGAGTGAAATTATGTCTCTTGGAGGTCACATCAACCTCTGCATGAACTTCTTGGCTCTGATTATACAAGCAATCATTATGATTATACTCTGATTTTTCCAAGTCTGTATGTCCATCCTTGCTCCTGTATGTGGGGAACATTATTTAACCCATTATGGCCATATAAGAAAACTTATGAATAATACCTAGTATTGTGATTAATCAGAGTAGATGCTTAATACATATATTTCTCTGTCTATTCACCAACTCTGTCCATAGAAAGAAAGAACAAAAAACATACTTCTATTGAATATTCTTTTGGTTTAAAACATGGTATCCTAATACAGTGCTAGAAACAACCTATTGTTCTTCCTAGCACTCCTAAGCCTGAAGCATTCAGTTTTTTATCAAGATTTTTTTAGGAAGTGTTTCTGAAGCGGAGATGAACAAATATGATTTCACTGGTCATCTGAAAAACAGGAGGATTCTGTAGGGAAGAAAGGAGGTTGATGCAGAAATGAATGAAAAGACCAATATTTGCCTGCTTCCTGATTTTGTACATAGCTGTTACTTGTTTCAAAAGTAGTCTGAAATAAATTGGGAATTAATTTAAATTTTTAAATTTTTATTTACTATCCAAAATTGATAAAATGTTATTATTTTCTAAAGCAATAATGTCCATTCATGGGGAATATCAAACTTATGTAAAGCATTTTTAAAATCATTATTTCTCTAGTTTAGAATAGAAGTTAAAATATTAAAATAGTAGTTAAAATACTCTACTAGAATAATAGTAGTTAAAATATTTATCCAAAATTTGTAAAATAATTAGCTTAACAATGACTATATTCTAGCGCATATAAGTGGAAAAATGTAAGGCTGGTTCTCTAGTTTAGATTTTCTTATAAATGCCTTCAGGAGGTTTGTAGAAGTACCCTGATATTTATGCAAATCTCTTTAGATTATTAACATATTTCAAATCTGTAACACTTATAAGTAACATATAAATAATACAAAATTATTTGAAAGAAACATAAACTTTATTTTTAATTTATTTAAGTTTTATAAATTTCAAAATATTAAGTGGGTATAAATGTTTTGGGTTACCTGGATCACTTTAGTAATGGTTGCGTTATAGCCATAGGTGTGCCCATCCTGCAAACAGTGTTCATTATACCTGTTAGGTAGATTTTCACCCATGCCCTCCCCAACCCTCCTCCCCGCTTGATTTCCACTGAATTGTACTCCCCTCTATACACATGTGAGTTCATTGGTTAGTTCCATTTAATAGCAAGTACATGTGGTGTTTGTTTTCCATTCTTTAGACATTTCACTTGGGATAACAGTCTCCAGTTCTATCCATATTTTTGCAAAAGGCATTAATTCATCCTTTTTATGGCTGAGTAGTACTTCAAGATTTACATATACCACAATTTGATAATCCACTCATGAACTGATGGGCACTCGAATTGATTCCACATCTTTGAAATTGTGAATTGTTCTGGGATAAACATTAGAATATAGGTGTCTTTTTGATAAAATAACTTCTATTCCTTCAGGAGATACCCAGTAGTAGGATTGCTGGATTGAATGGTAGGTCTACTTTTAGTTCTTTGAGGAATCTCCATATTGTTTTCCATAGATGTTATACTAATTTGCAGTCCTACCAACTATATAAACATTTTTGTTTTTCTCTGCATCCATTCCAGCAATCTGTTTTTTTTTTTTTTTTTTTACTTTTTAATCATGTCCATTCTGATAGGGCTAAGGTGCTATCTCATTGTGGTTTTAATTTGCATTTCCCTGATGATTAGTGATGTTCAGCATTTTTTCATACATTTATTGGCCAGTTGTCTATTTGCTTTTGAAAACCTTCTGTTCATTTCTTTTGCCCACTTTTTAGTGGGGTTGTTTGATTTTGTTCTTGCTGATTTGGTTGAGTTCTTTGTAGATTCTGGATATTAGTCCTTTATCAGATGTATTCTTTGGGAATATTTTCTCCCATTCTGTAGGTTATCTATTTGCTCTGTTGATTATTTCCTTAGCTGTGCAGAAACTTTTTAATCAAATCCCATTTATTTTTGTTGTTGCTATAATTGCCATTGGGGTCTTAGTCATAAATTCTTTGCCTAGGCTAATATCTAGAAGAGTTTTCCCTACATTTTCTTCTAGGATTTTATAGTTTCATGCCTTACATTTAAGTCTTTTGTCCATCTACAATTAATTTTGAGGAGTGATGAGAGGTGGGGGTTCTGTTTCATTCTTCTGCATGTGGCTATTTAGGTTTTCCAACACCATTTATTGAACAGATTTAGTTTCCAAACACCCTGCATCACAAAATAACAGTAATCATTATTTATTAAGTTTTTAATTGATTTACTTACTAAATTTAAGATACTCTTCAGTATTGATCCCAACTTAAGATACTTAACATCCTAGTTTTAGCTCATTCATGTGAGTTTGCACAGGGATAGAAAAAGAATCAGAGTTCTGTGTGAATCAGATTGTATATACACAGAGTAATGGATAGATACAAATTTAATTATAGATATATGTATATGCATAGTGTTATGGGCTGCAGTGTGCCCCCCCCCCCAGTTTTATATGTTGAAGACCCAATCCCCACTACCTTAGCTAGGCCATTTAATCTGACTGGTGTCCTTACAAGAGGAATTTGGGCACACAGAGGGACAGAAGGGATGTGTGTGCAGAGGCAAGACCATGTGAGACATACTGAGAAGGTGGTTGTCTGAAATCCAAGGAGAAAATTCTCAGGAGAAACTGAACCTGTCAACACTTTGATCTCAGACCTATACCTTTAGTTTCCTTTTTCAAAACTGTGAGAAAACACATTTTGGTTATTTAAGCTACCCAGTCTGTGGTACTTTGTTATGACAGCCCAAAGTAATACACATGGTTAGCATTGACACCCCAGTAGCAATGAGCACAAATGCATCATATCTTGATGCATCCATCATATCTTGATGTCTAAATACTATTCTCCAATAAAAGTAACCATAGCTTATTGGACAAGTAGTTGATTCTAGGCATGCAGTAGGAAAAAATATAAGTCTGAGATATCTTTGAGTACTAGAAACTAAGAGATTTCTTCAAAAGCAAAAGGATATAGAAACATCAAATGGACATAGAAACCAACTGGAAAGAGCTAGTAATATCTAAAACTTAAAAAATGTGAGCAACCCCCCCCAAAAAAAAGCACATAAAATTGAAATGTACCACAAATATAACCAAAATATAACGGAAAGTTAAAAAGAAATATTCATGAGTTCATGCTGACATAAATAAGTGATTGAATAAATTCATTTAGTGGAAGCAAGAAAGATTTCTCACAGAATGATTCCAAATAACATCTGTAGGCATTCTCTCATTCTGAGAATCGGAGCTTAATTCTCTTCAAATGTGGACTAGGCTTAGAAACTTACCTCCAAAGAACTAGTAAAGAAGGAAAAAAAAATTAACTTTACAGTGGAGAAATCTGGCTGAAAACTTTACCTGGTTGGAGGTTAATATCACTGGTAATGCCAATGGACATTATGGAGTGCCTGATAAAATGTAATGAGAAGGGGACTTTACAAACAACAACCTCAAAACAAAAACAAAAACAGTCTAATCATGAGAACAAACATCAAATAAACCTAAATGGGAGGATAGCTGACCAATACTTCTAAAGACTATGAAGGTTATAAAAAATAATGAAAGACTAAGAAACTGTCCCAGAACACAGAAGTCTAGGTAGACATGGCAACTGAATGCAATGTTGCAACCTGGACTGTACCCCAGAAGGGAAAGAGGACATTCATAGAAAAGCCATGAAATCTAAATAAAGTCTAAAGTTTAGTTAATAGTAATGTTTCTTAATTCTAAATATTAGTTTCTTAATTTGACAAATGTGCCATGGAAATATAAGATGTTAACAACAGGAGATATCGGGTAAAGGGCATATGAAAACTCTTTTGAACTGCCTTTGTAACATTTTTGTAAATCTAAAATTACTTCAAAATAGAAACTTAAAAAAGATACATAATTATGGAAACAGCTGCTTAAGCAAAAATTCTCAAGTCACTCTTTTGGGTCTAGTCTCATATTTTACATGTGTATGACTTCTGTTTTCCTATTTTAATAAATGGATTATCCTTCTATTTCAAGTATAGTGACATAAGTTTTGCATTTAGCTCCCCCCTTTTTGTATATAACAATGACATGATCAAAAAAAATTGAAATAGAGGGAAACCTTTTTTATACCCTTTTGTCAGTGGGCACCAGAAAAGGCTTTAATTCACAGGCACAAGTCTTGAGAATTTTCTGTAAAATATAGTGCAAGTAGGACCCATAATAAGCATAATAATGGTAGTGCTAATGTTTACTTTTTAAATGAATGAATGAATGACCACCCAACCTGAAATTTAAAGCATGTGAAGAAAAGCTACACTGGGAAATAAACAGATGAGATTTCCCAGAAAAACAATTCAAAGCCTCTAACCTCAAAATGGCAGTAACTGTAAGTAAAGAAAGGCTATGGGACAGTAGTGAAAGGAGGTTGCAGAAGAATCATATAACCTCAGGAGTCCACCAGTGTCGCTGCAATGGAATGATTTTGATGGAAATGGCACAGTCAATAAAGCAGGATACTAAAGAGAGTATTAAGAAAAATGCTTCAGTGTCCATGGTAGGTCAAATAATGGCCTACTATACCAAAGTTATGCCTATGTCTTAAGCCCTGGAATCTGTGAATGTCACCATACATGATAAAGACATTGCACACATGATTAAATTAAAAATTTTACGATAGTAACATATTACTAGATTATTGGTGGGCCCTAAGATGCAATCTAGGAGGGAGACAGAAGAAGACTGAACACTCACAAGAGGAGAAGGCAATGTGACCTTGGAGGTAGGCAGGCACTGGAAGATGAAAGAGGCAATGAATAGATTCTGCTCAAAAACCTCTGGAGGGAGTGCAGTCCTGCTGATACCTTAATTTCAGCCCAATGATGCTGACTTCAGTTTCTGGCCTCCAGAACTGTGAAGGAATAAATTTCTTTTGTTTAAAGCCACTGAGTTTGTGGCAATTTGTTGCCACAGCCATAGGAAACTAATATGAATACAATATTCAAGAATACTCTGAATGCCCTCACTGAAACAGGAAAGAAACTATTGGAAAAGCAGCGAATTTCTCTGATATGTAACCATGTCCTCAATGTATGGAACTAAAGTCAAGTATCTAATAGAACCAACTTTGATCCCTAATATGGATAAATATAAACTTCTATCCTTTAAGAAAAAGCCAAGAAATTAATGCATCATAAGTATTCTCTTCTTAAAGAGCAAAGGAAATTGAACTTATGAAAGATAATACATCAAAAAATGAGGATAAAAGATAATAAAGTTCTAATTTTTACTTTTCACAAAATTTGAAAATACACTACACCTATAAAATATGAATAATCTGAGACATGTCCTTTAGAAAAAGTCACTTTCTGCTATAAACGTACATAGACACTGAGCCAAACTCTTTGAAGAGGTATTAAACAGCAGCTTTAACACTGTAGGAAAACCAAATCAAGGTAGCATAACTGCTTAAGTAACTCTTACAGACTTTAGAAAAAAACGATAAATAAAAGACTATTATTAAAAATAAAGTAAGTAGAAAAGGAAGTGGAGAAAGAGAGGTAAAGAGAAAGAAAGAGATATATCTTTAGGGTATATCTTTAGGCTATATCTAAGGTAAAGAGATATATCTTTACCTTAGTTAGGGTAATGTACCATGCTCTTAGACATTAAAAACAAACACAAACAAACAAACAAAAAAACTAAAAAAGAAAAGAAACCTCAGAGAATATGACACCTATAACATTTTAGGACTGCATTCTGGCTGACTACAGTGGTTTAACAAGCCTATCAATTATTTTCCCATTTTGGGGGGTTTGGGGAAGTGTAGGAGTAGGGATCACATAACATGAATTCTAGAAGTAGAATTTAAGGACAAGTGTAGCTGCTCAATGATAGCATCAGGGACTAAGTTAATGATCCTTCAAACATTCCTAAGTGTCCAAAGAGACCTATGTAAAGTGATGTAGCATGATTCTACAAACTTCTTGATGGCAGACATGAGAAAACCTAATGCTATAGATAATTGCTAATTTTAAATGTTTTTCCCTCATGAGGAATGACACAGCCATTCTAAGTTTGAGGGATCGATTCTTGTAGTAGGCACGTTTTAATGTCACTTCTTGGCATTTTATATACTTGTGTAATTTCCTCCCCTTGAGTGCAGGTTGGGTTTACTGACTCACTTTTCAGCGAGTAGAATGCTACTGAGATGATGTGGTATCACTTCTGAGATAAGATTACAAAAAGACTGGCTTCCATCTGAAAATTGTCTTTCACTCACTCTCAGGTAAGCCACCTGCCATGTTGAAAGTTTCCATATGGAGAAGCCCACATGGCAAGGAAGAGCCAATAAGAAACTAAGGTCTTTGTTCAACAATATCAAGAACTGAATTCTTCCAGGAAACATATGAGTAGGCTTGGAAGGTGATCCGTCCTCATTTGAGCATTCAGATGAAAACCCAGATTAGGCTAACTTCCTGACCACAATCTCAGGAGAAACTTTGAACACAGGCACCCAACTAAGTCATGCTCTCAATTCATGATCCACAAAAACTACTGTAGTCTTTATGGTTGTAAAATGGCTATTCAATTTTCAGACATAACATCCAAAATCCAGAGAGAAAGAAGAGAAATGACAAAGAACCAAGGATGTATGTCTACTACATATTTTCCTTTTCTTCATGGAAGAAAGGATATGTATATATATTGATGAGCAACCATGCATTTCTGCCCTATCACCCATGTAATATTCCTAGAGAAAAATATTTTAAAATTTTATTAAAGTTATTAATATATTAGCCAAAATTAAGGATATAATTAAAGCTTAAAATATTAAAAACAAATGTGTGATTACTACAAACTAGTAGAAAGAGGCATTATTAAAATATGAATATTATTTTGAGCAATAAGACTTAAATTTGTACCTCTATAATATGATGAAATAAAAAAGACTAAAATTTATCTAATAATTAAATACATAATCCAAATTCTTCAATTAATTAAAATTCATTAAATTTTGGGCAGTATAAACAGGATAGTCTATTTATTATAGATAATACGAAGCTATATTAAATTATGCACAGGGCAAATCAAAATTGTAATTTATTATAAATGGCCATATATCTCATATATTATAAATGGTAACTTTTTCTACAATATGATAAAGTATATATGTTAATATTTTGATAATAAAAGG